TTCTGTGTATGGCAACCAATCTGTGATGGATATACTGTAGTGACAACTCTGCATTCACTTTTAATGTGGGTCTATTGGAACTGTTAGAACGTTCTCTTATATCACTAATGTTTGTAGTACTGATTTAAGAAGTTGTGTGCTTTTCTTTAATTCCCTCTCTATTTATGGCCTCTCCGCAGCTTGGCCCTTCTATCTCAAGGCTATATTTGATCTGCTTATGGCAAGTACTGACTATCTGTATGACTTTGTAAAGCTAAGTGGAGGACATCGAATGTATCCAAATTCAATAGGATGTTCTGAGTGTTGTTGAACAAGCTGACACAGATGACTAATATAATAAAAAAGGAATCACACATTAATTAAAAGTCATGAAGTTGATGTAGTGGGAAGCTTTTTTCCTAAGGTTGCAATTTAAAGCTCTTTTAGCCTTAGGACCCTGTCTGATTTTTCAGGCGGACCTGATCGGACCACCCATTGTTTGTTTTCTATGGGGAAGAGGATATAAACGGATGTATCTGCACCTACCTGTATCCCATCTGACCCACTAAAAACAGATGGATAGGGGATCCGTTCCCCTATCTGTCTATCGGATGTAAACGTGCAGGCGGACTGTTTACATCCAACTGCCCCATAGAGAACTGCGGGCTGCGTCTGCTCTGCATAATTGGAGCGGACACAGGTCGGTCATCCGTCTGCCTGCTCAGCAAAGATCAGTAGACAAATCCCCCACTAAACAGGCGGAATCCGTTTGGTGGAGTTTGCCTGAATGAAAGGGCATAAAGCCTACTATATCACCTGCATACTTATTGGACAATGAATATCACATGATATCACACTGATGGTTCGTTCTCTGGTGAGTAGACAGGTGATACAGGAAACTGAAAATCTAACTTTGTTACGCTCTTAAACCAGTCTTGTGATTTACATTACACTGCAAACATTGTATCAGATGGAACCCTCCAAAGGAAAAGGTTCCCTTGATTGGACACCAGCAGCATATACAGGTGAAACTCGAAAAATTAGAATATCGTGCAAAAGTTCATGTATTTCAGTAATGCAGCTTAAAAGGTGAAACTAATATATGAGATAGACTCATTACATGCAAAGCAAGATAGTTCAAGCCGTGATTTGTCATAATGTGTGATGATTATGGCTTACAGCTCATAAAAACCCCAAATCCACAATCTCAGAAAATTAGAATATTACATGCAATCAATAAAACAAGGATTGTACATAGAACAATATCGGACCTCTGAAAAGTATAAACATGCATATGTACTCAGTACTTGGTTTGGGCCACTTTTGCAGCAATTACTGCCTCAATGCGGCATGGCATGGAAGCTATCAGTCTGTGGCACTGCTGAGGTGTTATGGAAGATCAGGTTGCTTCAATAGCGGCCTTCAGCTCTTCTGCATTGTTCGGTCTCATGTCTCTCATCTTTCTCTTGGCAATGCCCCATAGATTCTCTATGTTCAGGTCAGGCGAGTTTGCTGGCCAATCAAGCACAGTAATTTCTTGGTCAATGAACCAGGTTTTGGTGCTTTTGACAGTGTGGGCAGGTGCCAAGTCCTGCTGGAAAATGAAGTCAGCATCCCCATAAAGCTCATCTGTGGAAGGAAGCATGAAGTGCTCCAAAATCTCCTGGTAGACGGCTGCGTTGACCCTGGACTTAATGAAGCACAGTGGACCAACACCAGCAGATGACATGGCTCCCCAAATCAACACAGACTGTGGAAACTTCACACTGGACTTCAAGCATTTTGCAGTGTGTTCCTCTCCATTCTTCCTCCATACTCTGGGTCCTTGGTTTCCAAATGAGATGCAAAAGTTGCTCTCATTAGAAAAGAGGACTTTGGACCACTGAGCAACAGACCAGGTCTGTTATTCTTTAGCAGGTAAGACGCTTCTGATGTTGTTTGTTGTTCAGGAGCGTCCTGACAAGAGGAATACAACATTTGAAGCCCATGTCCAGGATCCGTCTGTGTGTGGTGGCTCTTGATGCACTGACTCCAACATCAGTCCCCTCCTTGTGAAAGTCCCCAACACTTTTGAATGGCCCTTTCCTGACAATCCTCTCCAGGCTGCGGTCATCCCTGCTGATTGTGCACCTTTTTCTTCCACACTTTTCCCTTTCACATAACTTTCTATTAATGTGCTTTGATACAGCACTTTGGGAACATCCAACTTCTTTTGCAATTACCTTTTGAGGCTTTCCCTCCTTATGGAGGGTGTCAAAGATGGTTTTCTGCACAACTGTCAGGTCAGCAGTCTTTCCTATGATTGTGATTCCTACTGAACCAGACTGAGAGACCATTTAAAGGCTCAGGAACCCTTTGCAGGTGTTATGGCTTAATTAGCTGATTAGAGTGGGACACTTTGAGCCGAGAATATTGCACCTTTTTCACAATATTCTAATTTTCTGAGATTGTGGATTTGGGGTTTTCATGAGCTGTAAGCCATAATCATCACAATTATGACAAATCACGGCTTGAACTATCTTGCTTTGCATTTAATGAGTCTATCTTATATATTAGTTTCACCTTTTAAGTTGCATTACTGAAATAAATTAACTTTTGATCGATATTCTAATTTTTCGAGTTTTACCTGTACACACCTTTCCTTCAATCCCTACCCTATCTGTTCAGCAGAATATTAAAAAAAGCAAACAATAAATCACTCCCAGGGCAGACATTCCTTGATCTGTGTGGCTGAACAGAGCAGCTGAGAAGGGAAGGGAAGGTATGTTCCTAGGGATGGTGGGGAAAAGGTAGGGGATTGGGATTAAGGTGGACCACATGTTGTTAGTATTATACAGGATTTATATAGCACCAACAGTTTGCGCAGCGCTTTACAAAATGAAGGTAGACATGACAGTTACAATACAATTAGTACAAGAGGAAATAGGGCCCTGCTCGTTAGAGTTTACAATCTAGGAATCTATTTAAGCTGTTTGTTTAGTTGTTTGCCTGGATCTTGCCCTAGTTGAAAACATTAGGGAGTGAATAATATATAACCATAAAACTGTTAAAGGGTTCTTTAAATAATTCACCTTTGTAAAAAAACAAAATGCACATCTTTTTTGAAGGCAAAATGTTTAATTTTTTTTTTCATTAGCAGACGGCAAAACATTTTATTCATGATCATCAGATTGCAGGTGCAATGTGAGGCTTCGTAGACGGTTACTGTAAACTGCTCGTACAAGCAGGCAGTTACACAATGACAGGGAGAACCAATGAATTACCTAGAGCACTCATTAGTGCCCTGGTAGTTCATTGAGTATTTCAAGCCAACAGCCGCAAAGATTGTCAGTACATGTAGTTCTCCTATTCACAGAATGTGGCAGAGTGGGCGGAGCTCTGCAGGGCTGCATTTTTAAAAAGTTATTAAGGAAGGATGCACATTCCTGTGATGCTCTGGCCATGTTTAACAGACAATGCATCCCAGCTTCTATGCCAAGACGGTAGGTTTTTGGCCAGGCTTTGAAGAACCAGAGTGTTTTTACACAGGCTTACCCCAAGGAGTAGGTGAATTATCACTTTAAAATATACAGAAGGCACATACTGCCAACCATTTTTGCAAGGCCCCTACTAAGTCCTCATAGCCCACACATCCCATGGCGAGCAGATCAAAAAATGTATTGCCTTTTTAACACTATGCTGTTCCATTGTGGTGTGCTACCGCATACAAGTTAATGTGTGTTGCATTAAGTTAGCCGTCCAATCGAGAATGGAGTGCCAAAACATTAATGCAGTGCACCACGTTGCAAGATATGCATGTTGTGATGGACTGCAGTACGGGTACTACTTTGCTTGTGCGTTGGGATGCCATTCTAAATGAATGACACTGCAAAACACAACACAAATCGCCCTGTGCTACCATTATGATAAAAATGCACATTACCACAAAGCAAAGGTCTGAAAGAAGCTTGAAGGTAAACGATTCTTTTAAATAACTTAATCCTAAAGACCCTACTCCCTGTGCTAACTAAACCACCTTACACTTACTTTAGAACAGTGGGTGATGTAACCCAGATCTACACCATATTGAATGGCCTCTAGTCAGCCTTACAGACTTAGTCACAGGCTAAGTATACAGCTTTTGTATTCCGGCCTATAAAGAACCCAGTATCCCTGGTATACTACATCCTAACATTGCATTTTTATCACTGAGCATGCCCAGCATTGTAGCTTCCCTGAAACTGAACCCCAACACCCCAAACACTGCTCATTTCTCTGCCATGTAGTGTGTACCAGGGGAAGGCAGAGTAGGTCATACCTCTGGGTTGAGAGAGAGAGGGAAGCCAAACACTGAGATACCCACCACCTTCATTACTACAGATCCCTTCCAGTGCATTAAAGATATATATAGAGAGAGAGAGAGAGAGAGAGAGAGAGACACACGATATTGCAGTACGTATTGGGGCACCTGCCTTTGCACGCGAGTGAACTTTAATTGCTTCCCAGTCTTAGTCTGTATCGTTCATTGAGTTGGCCCACCCTTTGCCGCTATTACAGCTTCAACTCTTCTGGGAAGGCTGTCCACAAGGTTTAGGAGTGTGTCTATGGCAATGTTTGACCATTCTTCCAGAAGCATATTTGTGAGGTCAGGCACTAATGTCGGATGAGAAGGCCTGGCTTGCAGTCTGTGCTCTAATTCATCCCAAAGGTGTTCTTTTGGGTTGAAGTCAAGACAACTGCCAAACCCAGACACATCCATCGGATTGCCAGACAGAGAAGAGTGACTTGTCACTCCAGAGAACATGTCTCCACTGCTCTAGAGTCCAGTGGCGGTGTGCTTAACACCACTGCATCCGATGCTTTGCATTGCACTTGGTAATATAAGGCTTGAATGCAGCTGCTCAGCCATGGAAACCCATTCCATGAAGCTCTCTACACACTGTTGTTGTGCTAATCTGAAGGCCACATGAAGTTTGGAGGGCTTTAGCTATTGAATCTGCAGACAGTTGGCGACTTCTGCTCAGTGTTTGCTTCAGCATGCTCTGACCCCGCTCTGTCATTTTATGTGGCCTACCACTTCGTGGCTGAGTTGCTGCTGTTCCCAGTTGCTTCCACTTTTTTCTAATACCACCAACAGTTGACTGTGGAATATTTAGTAGTAAGGAAATTTCACGGATGGACTTATTGAACAGGTGGCAACCTATCACGGTACCACACTTGAATTCACTGAGCGCATGTGAGCGACCCTTTCTCTCACAAACGTTGGTAGTAGCTGTCTGCATTCCTAGATTTTATACACCTGTGGCCATGAAGGTGATTGAAACGCCTGAATCCAATGATTTGGACGGGTGTCCCAATACTTTTGGCAATATAGTGTTTGTATATATGTGTGTATATGTATATATATGTATATATATGTATATTAATATTGTACAGGATTTATATAGTGCCAACAGGTTGCATAGCACTTTATAAAATGAAGGTGAATAGAACAAAAACTGTGTCTGTCTTCATTTCAGGCTGCAATGCAACAAGTGTATTTTATTTATATATAAAAAATAAATTTTGTTGCATTGCAGCCTGAAATGAAGACACACAGGGTTTGTTTTATCCAGCTGTATTACTCAGTGCATCTAGTAACGACCCCAAATCCAGTCACATTCCAAAGCTTGCTGTCTCAACCACCACAACAGCTCCAAAATATGCTTTTTCCTAACCAATGAGACCACAAAGCTCCTAATCAACTCCCTGGTTATCTCGTCTCGACTACTACAACTCCCTCCTCATTGGCTCTCCTTTACATAGGATATCCCCCCTTCAGTCCATCATGAATGCTGCTGCCAGACTCATCCCACCTTACTGACCGTTCAGTGTCTGCTACCCCTTTCTGCCATTCCCTCCATTGGCTGCCACTCACCCAACAAATTAAATTCAAAATCCTAACAACTTGCAAAGCCATTCACAACTCTTCCCCAACTACATCACTAACCTGGTCTCAAAATACCAACCAAAGCGTTCTATTTGTTCCTCTCAAGACCTCCTGCTCTTTAGCTCCCTTGTCACTTCCTGCCATTCTTGCCTCCAGGACTTCTCCCAAGCCTCTCCCATCCTAATGGCATTCCCTACCCCTATCCATCCGACTGTCTTCTACTCTGTCCACTTTTAGGCAATCCCTAAAAATGTTTCTCTTCAGAGAAGACTATCCTGCCTCCGCCCAACACATGTACTATTATTTTCTCCATTAGCTCATCTCCTACAGTTATTTCTTTTTTGTAACACTTGACCTTCCCTTTAGATTGTAAGCTCTAACAAGCAGAGCCTTCTGATTCCTACTGTGTGAAATTGTATCGTAACTGTACTATCTGCCCTCATGTTGTAAAGCGCCGCACAAGCTGTTGGTGCTATATAAATCATGTATAACTATAATAATAATAATGTGATAGATATAACTCCAACATGTCAGAAAAAATAAACAAATATTCAAAAACTGAACCACTGAGTTGGAAAAAGGATCCCCGCCTTGTATCAGTATTTTGTTGAACCACCTTGTGCTTTAATTACAGCCTTTAGTCTGTTGGGATATGTCTCTGCTAACTTTGAACATCTAAACTTTGCAAAATTTGCCCACTCTTCTTTGCAGAACTGCTGAAGTTCAGTTAAATTTGATGACCGTTTGTGGACTTCAAGTCATTCCGCAGATTTTCGGTGAGGTTTAAGTCTCGGCTCTGACTAGGCGATGCAGGGACCTTCACCTTTTTCTCCTTCAACCACTTTGTGGTCATTTTTGCTGTGTGCTTTGGGTCATTTATATGTTGGAAGGTAAACCTTCTTCCCATTGACAACTTTCTTGCCGAGGGCAGCGGATTTAATTTAAGAATTCGACGGTATTTTACCCCATCCATTTTTCCTTTTATCCTGACAAGTCCCAGCTCCAGTCCCTGATGCAGAGAAACTCCTCCATAACTGGATATTACCACCTCCATGCTTTACTGTAGGAATGGTGTTATTTGGATGGTGAGCTGTATTGGATTTCCAGACATGTCTATTTTAGTGTTGAGGATAAATTTAATTCTAGTCTCATCTGAACATAACACCTTTTTTCGTGTGGTCTCAGAATCTTCAAGGTGCATTTTGGCAAAGCTCAGTTGTGATTGCATGTGGCCTTTCTTGAGGAGTGACTTTTTGTTCTTGCAACCCTCCCATACAGGCCCCATTTGTGGAGAATTTAATATTGATTGTAATTTTGTTACATGCATGCAATGACCTCTTTGTCATATATTTCTGCAATTGCTTCAGAGTTGCTCTTGGCATCTTGGTAGCCACTCTGACCTGTTTCCTTCTGGTTTCATCCAGTTTGGAGCAACGTCCTGATCCAGGGAGGGTCTGTGTTGTACCAAATACCTTCTACTTAGTAATAATAGACTCCACTGTGCTCCTAGGCATTGATAACGCATTTGTCCTTTTTTGTATCCATATCCTGACTTGTGCCTGTCCACAACTTTATCCCGGAGATCTTCTGAAAGTACCTCGCCACCCATAGTTGATTGATTGCTTCAGTTGCATTACCAGGGAATGAAATGCTCCAGCAAAGCTATTTTCATACTGAGCTAATCAGAATGATCACAGTTGAAAGTTAAATGGCTTTGTGTGCCATTGAGATAAGCTACACCTGCTTGAGTTTACAAGTCATTTTTTAGGAGGGGGGTGATCCTTTTTCCAACTCGACGATTCTGTTTTCTGAATTTTCTAAAAAAAAAAATTCTGACATTTTAGTGTTATATCTTTCACTTGGATATTATAAGTTGCACTGAGTAAATACAGCTGGATAAAACAAAAACTGTGTCTGTCTTCAATTTAGTCTGCAAAGCAATACAATCTGATCATTTTAAAAGGGGTAATATACACATACACCTTTTTTTTCAGCGCAAATGCAGTTCTGGCATCTCCAGCAGTAAATGTATGTAATGGCAGGGGGTGCTGGAGGATCTATTGCTGCTGGCTGCTTGCGGATCTATGTAACTGAAGGGGATCAATTTTTGTGTGGTCTATTTTTGCTGGGGAGCTCTGTTGATGCTGGTGGTGGGTCTATTGTTGATGGGGGTCAATTGAGGCTGAAAGGGGGCACTGTCCAGAGGAAGCAACATTTTTAAAACCGCTGGGAGACAGCACAAATGGTGGGTATAACTCAATACATCTGCCACTTCTATGGGTGCTAGGTAGTGAGACACTTGTAGTTGCAGTACAATTGTGTTACCACAGTTTCAGGAAGCTTGCTCCATTTCATGAACTTGATAGTAGTCCATGGTACTGTAGACTGTAAAGCCATTGTTCCTACTGCAGCAAAGAAAATTGTGCTGCAAATGCATGTGCTGCAAATGCATTATTTTGTTTGGAAAATATACTGTATATCACAGTTTTGAGATTTTTTTATAAGCAAGTAACCAATAGTAAATTTGGATGAGGTGTTAGCATGGTGTGACTTGCGTATTTGTTGTTTTTTTAGTAAAATTCTAACTGTACTTTTGCTGCTGTCATTGCTGGCACTTTGCACTGCCTATAAACGGAGTCTTTAAATCTTTATCAGTGTTGAAATAATGAATAGTTATTATGCCCCCTGGAACTTTCAATAAAGGCATGTTTGGAATTTCAGAAAATGTATACATGGCCTTCCTGTAGCACTCAGATTAACAGTACACAGGCAGCATAAAACACCACTAAACTTCAATACACCACAACGGGTAGCCAGCCACTAATCTCCTGATGTATAACCAGTAAGCCAGTGCCTACGGTGAGGATAATTTACATTAAAATGAATAGTGCCTTTTAACAGCACAGAATTTTTTTTTTTTTTTCTTTTGTGCTTGCAATTGGGAAACCAGTAGCCAGATTTATGAAAGACTGGGCCATAGGAATAAGATATTTGTGCAGTTGGAGAATGTAACTTGTTGTCTAGTAACACTTCCTCCCTTCCGGTTTTAGTAGATCAGCATTCTTGCCAAAACACAGTGGCTAATTGACCTTCCCCCTAAATGATGCCACACAATAATTACCGGTGCAGACTATGCTGAAACTGCCAACATTGCAATTTATGTCTTACCTGGGCCACAAATGCTGTGACAGTCATATCAAATCAATATCCTACATTGCTGAGAATTGAATGACCTGGGGTGTGGTCATTAGTTTTGTGGCTCGCTCTTCTACCCAGTGAACATTGGAATACATTTTTCATTCAGTTCCTACATCCTTGAACAGAGTGTAGGCATTTGTTCTAGATATACCAAGTCAAAATGAATGAATAGTAGTCTGCAAGATGAAGATGATCACTGGAAATTTAAGGTGTAAAAATTGGCTCGTTGTGCTGCATTTAGAAGATGCCAGTACATCCCTGTGAAATAAACACGACTACACTATTCAATGACTTCTCTTCAGTCCCAGGAGTTATGTAATAGAACCCATCCCTCCTCTAGCCCAGTAACAACAGAGGTCATTCTGCGAGTGTGTCTATGGGTGGTGAGCTTGTTTTCCTGCCAGCACATTCCTGCTCCTCACTGTAAAATGGCCTCTCCCTAAGTTTTACCTGTGAATGAGCATGATGTCAGCAGACAACTCAAATACACATTCTACCCTCATCATTCCCAAGGTCACCCAGCAGGGGAAACTCCTACTACAATGAAGAGACACTTGAAGACAACTGCCTCTTGAAGAGACAAACCGCACCATTGCACATTGTTTCACCTACAGCTACAGTCAATTTCTACAGTTCATCAATATATTGGCATATGAGACCTTATCATAGTTTATTTTAGGAGAGTTTTTTAAATCAGAATACTATTTCTGAGACATCCATCTGTTTTACTAAAAAACATCCAGACTGCTTTAATATTACAGAACTATTTTATTTGGTAAAAAAACTGATAAAATATAATATGGAAGTAGTGTTCAGTCTGATGCATTCAACAAAACTGGCATTTGATTCGCTACTGCTATATCCCAGGTAAGCACCACCACTTTTTATAGGACAGACCAAAATAGCTTTGTTGGCATTCATATACTAGTGTCCGAATAAATGTCAAATAGGATCAAGCGCTGGGTAAAAATGGTAAAGAGATAGCCGCTAGCATAGAAAGGTAACCTCTAAAACCTCCAGAATAATAAATTATATAACAATATATGCAGCACTAGTGAGCATAAAACATATTAAATAGATGGATCAGGGTAAGAAAATTAAATTATATAAAAAATGAGTGTAAAATTGACAGCTTATTGATACATAAATGAATAAATAAAGTCAATCAACTTAAAGTGCATAAAGAGTGTGACTGCTGTGAGACAGTCAGTAAAACTTGTAAAGCAGAATATCCGTGACTCCTGTGATGGTGGAAATAAGTGTA